ATTTGTGTATTTAAGTCCTGAAAGAAAATGTCAGAGTAAAAATAGTAGTTTTTCCAGATATGCCAGATTGGAGACAATGTTTATTTATGTAGTTATTATTTTAAAGTCTGAACTGAAAGTTGCTGAGACTTTTATTTCAGTATGTTGATGTACTTCCAACTGAAACTGGAATATTCAGTAGGGGGCCATTTTGTCCATCTTTTCCTAATAGCAAACTAATGATAAGAGAGGTGTGGTTAAGATTATTGTGGCTAAAGCGTCAAACTGAACTTTGAAGCTTTTAAGATTACCAAGATTTTTATTGTATTTTGTTTGAGTGGATAAAATTGCACAGATTAATTGTTCATTTAAGGCAGGGGTGGCAAACTGCATAGACCTACACATTCTAGTTCTAACCCTGCTTCAATAAACCTACCTGTAGGTTTCAAACAAGCCTAAAGGACTCAATTAGTTTGATCAGATGTGTTTAATTAGGGTTGAAACTAAACTGTGCAGAGCTGTGGCCCCCCCAAGAACTGAGTTTGACACCTGTGACCTAAGGAATATCAATGTGTGCTAGCAAAATATACTTTTTGCATGTTGATTCCACACAGACTTTACATTTATTTTATTTCAGTTTGTCCACTTAGACAGACAGACAGACAGACAGACAGACAGACAGACAGACAGACAGACAGACAGACAGACAGACAGACAGACAGACAGATAGATAGATAGATAGATAGATAGATAGATAGATAGATAGATAGATAGATAGATAGATAGATAGATAGATAGAATTTTGTGTATTTCTCATTTTAGTTTGTTAACTGTTTCAGTCAATGTAAGTACTCCAGAGTAAATACTTTGTTGGTTTTTTTTGTTTGTTTTCAGTCCAAGGACCTTTGCAGTACCTCTAGTTTGTGAAATTTCAAGTCCAATCACACAAGGAAACACTGCTAGTTTACATATTGTCAGAAACCTAAAAAATTCATACAAATTCATTTGATATAATTTTTATAAAAACATACGACAGGGTTCATACAGTCTTGGAAAACCTGGAAAAGTCATGTAATTTTGTCAAGCTATTTTCCAGGCCTGGAAAAGTTTAGGGAAAAACAAATAAACAGAGTATTATGGGAAAAGTCTGGGAAATGTATGTCTTATGAGAACACAAGCCAACATTTGTTAAATATTTTCATACCGACACAGTGTATAAAAAAATGCTGGGTTCCACACAATTCCTTCTTGTTGTCTTAAAACAAATTGATTACGTTAACTTAATAGTTTTTACAAAGTTAAGTAGATTGAAGATAAAGAAATTAAGTTATCCCAAAAAAAATCCTTAAGAACTGTGCTTTTCAACTCGTTTTAAATAAGTAGTTTGAACTAGCAGCAAAAGTAATTTTTTGAGTTCAGCAAGGCATTTTCTAAAAACTATTTTACACATATTAAAATTGTTACAGTTATGTGAACGCTGACATCAGGGAGTGAGAATCCAAACGCAGGGTTATTAAATGGAATGGTCAGGCAAGCAACAGTCAACACAGGACCAAACAGATGTATATTGGCAATCCAGAATTGTAGTCAATAAGCAGGCGAATGGTCAAAAGCAGGCAGCAGACATAAATAAACAAACAAAATAAATCAAAAATCGGTACACAGCAAGACTAGGCAAGGAAATGCATCGTAATGTTCACAGTACAGTTTAACAAGACTGAGCAACTTCTGGGTGTTTGTGTGCTGACTTTATAGTCCATGTAATCAGTTTATGAGTAGCTTCAGCTGTGTCTGTCTGCAGTTATGAGGATCCAGGCCAGGTGTATAAGTGGTGCATGGCTGGTCCTTGTAGTCCTTTTAGTTCTATGTAATGTAAATGTTTTCCAGCGATCTATGGTTAGATCGCTGGTTATTGTGACAAAAATAAACAAACTATGAACAAACTTTATATGCTGTGATCAATTTGAATGTGCATTTTTTCCTATTTTTACATGTACAATGCGTAGAGATTACTTAAAACATTAGGTTGTGGATATTTACCTGAAAAGTCTTGGAATTTTAGTTGTAAAAATGTATATGAACTCTGATATGATTTTTAATAGGAGACTCCTAACTACTCCTAACACTACATCTACCCCTCATTGGTGGATCGGATGAGTAAATGAGATACAAATTAGCCATTTAATTTAAAAGTTACAAATTGGCACAAAAAAATTGCTTTGGAAATTTTTTTACCAAAATTCAGCAATGTGACTGTAGTTGTGCATAACTTTGAAAAAGGATCTTTGTATAAATAAATAATAATAAAAACCATACTTCCATGACCATAACCTTGATCTAATTCGCAAAATTGAGTTGACCAGTTAGAAGTCGTCTTCATCTAGACATCTTGAATATCTCTTATTAATAAAAACATGCCAATGCAAATACAAACAAACAATCACATTCTAAATGGAGTCTAACGCAGGCTGAATGAAAAAATTCTCGTTTTAGCAGAACAAGGGGAAAAAAGCGACCTACGAATCCTCATTAAGAAAACAAAAGTGAGTGGTTGTGATCAAGCCTTTAAGTGCAAATGGCTTGTAATTGCTCATTTGCATATGCATAATTGCAGTCCATTTATGCCGCAAGACCCGAAATGTCCTCCACCACTTGTTCAAATGAAAGGCTAGAAGCGCAAGAGTGTGCAATAATGGCCTGGCATGAAAAATTTATGGAGGAATACGGCACTCCAGCGCCTGCTAAGTGTTATACAGGGTATTTTGTAACATAGAGAGGGAGACAGTGTATTCTAATTAGTTTTATTTTATTTATTAATTTTTTTTGTGAATATTTTAAAGTTTATGCTGGTGGCCATTTTATGTGCTCCGTTGTCCCTTGTAAATGAGTTGCAGTCCCTCATAAAGGCTTTTTTTTTTTTTTTTGCACCCTTCGCTTTCCTCTTAACTTCGTCTTTCTGCTGGACGGAGTGATTCTGCAGTGTTTCTTCATAAGAGCATTTCTCGCATGAAGTGACACACATTTGCTAATAGATTGCCAGATAATTCAAAGTCAGGTGGATTTTGATAAAAACATTGTGATTTTTTTATACTATTCATTATGTTTGTTCTTCTGAATTTTCAGTACATTGGAAACTTCCAAAGAATAAAAAAAAATCATAATAAAACAAAATAGTTGTCAAAATCTTTGAAATAAAAATACATTAAGTGAAGCTTTTTGTTTTGAGGTGTGCATTTTTATTTAACAAACTAATTGATTGTTTTATTTTATTATTTTAATTGTTTTATTTTACATATTTATTCTGTGGTCATGTCTGAAAATAATTTTAATAATTTATTTTTTATTTATTTTTATTATTATTGTTGTTGTTGTTTAGTTCAGTTGATTATTTTCTGTTATTTTATTTCAGTTTATATAAAACAATATTTTATATATAAAAAAAAAGAAGAGGGTTTAACTTAAAGCCAAGGCGCAAATATTTTCAAAATGTATCTATTTTATTTATTAATTTTATTCATTTATTTGACAAATTTTATTTATTTTTATTTATTTATTTTTACACAAAAAATATATTATTTGTATGGTAGTTTTGTTAAACACATTTTATGTATCAAATTGAATGCATTTTTTTGTTATTCTGTTATTAAATCAAATGAGAAAATATGTTAAAACTGTTTCACAATGTAAAATAATAATTAACAATTTTATGTCTGTTTTTATCAAATGTGTATTTTAACAGAAATGTTCCATAGCCTGTAATTTTAGATGTGTTTTATTACCGATTTATTTATGCTTTCAAATCAACTTGTACTGTATATCCTGTTTTCAGTTTGTTAACCTTGGAGAGAATTGTCATTTTCACACTTTAAGGAAACATCAAACAGTTTTTCACTCAAAAATACAAAATATAAACAATTTATATATTGTATTTTTTAAGGAAAATTGGTTTGATGTTTCCTTAAAAGTGTTTACATATTTATATTTTCATATTTAAGTTGTATTTTCCTGTTATTTAGGATATATTTGATATCTGTGAGAAGATATTATTTGAGAAATGTTTATAATAATATAATATAATATAATATAATATAATATAATATAATATAATATAATATAATATAATATAATATAATATAATATAATATAATATAATATAATATAATATAATAGTCTTTCAGTGAAATGTGACATACAGTGGATTATCTTTACTATATTTAGTAAAGTGTTACCACACATAAATAAGTGTTTTAATTAAAAAAAAAATTTATGTTATATATATTATGTTTATAATTAAGTTTAACTTTACTGTTGCTTTGGATGCATTTGATATCTGTAAGATGTTACTTGACAAATGTTAATAAATAATAATGTTTGTCAAGAAATTGGTGAAACATTGAAATGTGACATACAGTGTTCATCTAAAATAATACTTTGTTTACAATAATTACAGAGTAGGGTTCAAACTTAAATAATAATAAAAAAATAAAAACAAAAAAACACGTACCAAGGGATCCAATAATAACTAAAAATAGTCACTTACTTTATGTTTTTCCAAAGCTCCGGCTTCCTGCTATTGTGCCCTATAAAACTAAAGTAAGAGGCCATTTTAGATTTTAAAACAGGAAATTCACTTGTTTGAAATTTTGCCTCTCAGTGCTGACAAGCTGTCAAATAGCTTTCACCTTTTTCCCCCACAGTAATTTACCAGCATTTCGTCCGTATACGAATAATTTCTCCCTTAACTTTCAATCTATTATCATTCATATTCGCCTCAAGCTCCTAGAAAAAGATGGAAAAGTTGGATTTTCCGGTGTCTTACTTTTGAACCGTGTCACCCCCTTTCAAATGTATCACTTTATCCCCTTCATCACCTCCGTTTTTGTTGAAAGGTGTCACAGAAAGAACGAGAAAAAAAAAGGCAGAGCCGTAAAAAATCATACCTGAACCGATAATGAGGTCGGAGAATGAATGAATAATTCCCTCATATCTTTTTTCTTCTTCTTCTCACTATCTCCTTACAGTGTGACAGCGAGAGTGACATCGATGACAAGGTAAGACTTCTTTTCATGAGTGTTTGTGTGTGTGCGTCTGTTTACTTAAGACTGATTTCGGAGTTTATGGTATGAAAGGTTGTTGCCTGTCTTGAGCGCGTGTTTGTGTATGCGTGGAGATGACAGAAAATGGCTGCCAGTCTTGTGATTGTTGATTATTTGCATATTACAGGGATACAAAGGAAAGCTCGGTGCGATAGAGAGCGAGTACACTTATTGGAGAAGTGTTTTAAGCTTTCTTGCGAGGTGTCATTGTGTTTTGGTGTGTCGCTTCAGCTGCTTTGAACTTGTTTGAACTAGAAAAGAAAAGTCGTCCGGTGTCTTGATGTTTTTGCTAGTTAATTTTAGGGAGGAAGAATTGTTTACATCTTACTAAAAGAGGTGAGCACCCTCTAAATGTGAAGAAAATGTGTCTTTAGTTGGCTGAAGTTATTGTGAATCTTCTTTTATTTTAAATGAAATGTTTTTGAAACATGGTGTGCATGTAATGTTTTAACCAACAGAATGTTGTAGGACAGCTAGGGAACGACCACAACATTGAAAATAGATGTTTCTATGTATAAATTAACATAGGTCTATTATAAAAAGGGTAATATCGCTTTTCTCCCAGACATTAGGATGTATGCTGTTTAATTGTATCTTTTCTGAGCAGAACTTTAACTTCAAGGATCATGGTATAAAGCCCCAAAATACAAAATAGTCTATTTGGATATTTATATGAATCTATATATGGATATTTGACTTATAGCCAATATCCAATAAACCCATGTGATCATGAACTTTTTGAATAGTATATTTAAGTAAAATTTTTATATATGTTTTTTAAATGAATTTTAATACGTCCAATTTATTTATTTATGTAAACAAAAGTTCCGTAATATCAGAACAGCCTCTTCACTCTTGTGTATTACTTCGCCCACATAGAGTGACAGCAGCTCAATAAACTCACTACAGTTTGACAAATATTGCAGCTGTTGGACAACATAATGTACTTTTGAGGCTTTTTAGGCGAGAATGTAGTTGTTTAGATTGCAACTATGCAGTTTATTTATAAGGATAGTGCTTATTTTAAATATTTATAATTTTGGAGATACAGCATCCATCAGCCTGTCATACTGAGCTGAGCAAAAACAATTGATGTTCTGCCACAAGATAGCAAAAGAGACCATATAATAAGTCCTTAGAGGAAAAAAAAACTCAAAACAGGTAAGTGACATTCTAAGTTGATCTCTCTCATCTGTATGTTGCAGTGCTGTATTTATACCATAGTAATTGTAGTGTATTGAGTGTGAGATGGGACTCATATCAGGAATGTATGTATTTTGTGTTGGCCACCTTTCGTATAACCCTGAGTTACTTTTTAGTTGGCCATCTGTTTGTTTCTAATACGTATCAGATTTTCATTACTGCTGACTAGTTCAGTAAAAAGAAAGAAAGAAGAAATGCCTGTGTGTTTTTAAATTTTTCCTTATCTTAAACACAAAAGTAATTTGGTTGTGTTTGTGCTGCTTTGGCTTTTTTGGGGGTTAATTATTGTGATATCACTATTGCAACAGAGAAATATCTGTAGACTGATGGCATTTCATGCTGTTCAGCCTTATAATCTTAAAATGTCAGAGGAATCACCTGTTTGTCATCATTTTAGACATTACGCTAGAGAATCATTCAAATACTACCGCTAAAGTGATGTTTGTGAATGAGCAACGATTCCTGCTGTTCTGACGTAGATGTTATATGTATGGCCTAAGAAAGTAGTTCCTCTTACAGAAGGGTTTTTAAAACTATTTATTTGATTTTCTTTTTTATATAGGCTTACATGATTATGCCATTAAACTGTTGTATAAACCCAATATCACACGAGTAGCAGTGCGATATGGCTTTATATCATAACAGGTTGGACACCACCCACCATATCGCAGCCATATCGCACTGCTACGTATGTATTATTGCTCTTATATATATATATATATATATATATATACACACAAAAATTGTTCTCACAAGAAATTGTTCTCACAAAACATAATAATAATAATAATAATAATAATAATAGTAGTAGTAGTAGTAGTAGTAGTGGTATAAATAAACAAATAAACAATTGTTTTTATTTTATTAGTTTTGTTTTCCCAGAGATGGGTTGCAGCTGAAAAGGCATCCGTTGCGTAAAACATGTGCTGGATAAGTTTGCGATTAATTCCGCTGTGGTGACCCCAGATTAATAAAAGGACTAAGCCGAAAAAGAAAATGAATGAATGAAAAGTGTATTTGTAAAATAATATTTTATTCTTTAATGTATTTTAAAATACTTTAAGTATCATTTTAAACAAGTTTACATTACTCAGAATGGTGGTACATCCAAAAAGTAAAAAGATGTCATGTGCATTTCATTAAAAAAAATAAATAAATAAATCATTTGATCTCTTGAAAATAGGAAGTTTGCAAAGTTTTGGTTAAACAGAGAAGAAAGAATCTCTATCTTAAAATTTGACTTAGTGTGTTAGTGTATCTTTAAAAAAAAATAGAACTGCTCTCTACTGGTACAGGTTGTTTAATTCTGTGTAACATCCACGCAAACATTTCACAAGCTACTCGTGAGGTGTTACATTTGCATATTTTTTGCAAAATAAACAACAGCTCCAGCCATATAGTGATGGATAGATAGGCCTCCGATTATACCATTATGTCTAATTTGTTATTCAAATGCACTCTGGTCACGAATGCTTTCGAGATTTGGTTAGCGGTTTGTAGGTTGCCAGATCTTTTCCGGTGGAATGTTTTTTCCCGGCACCTTTAGCGCTTGTTTATCTTTTAATATTGATAACCCTAATATGTCTGTCACCCATATAAACAGCATGTAGCTCCAGTGGAAGTGTAACACGTGTTAATTCCCCTGCAGTTAAGCAATTACTCCCTGCTAAATGAATGTGATAGCATAACTAATCTCCTGTAAGCCAAGCTCCCAGTTCAGTGGAAAACGTCTCCGGCGCGCTCTATAAATAATACATTGATAGCGAGCAGCAATTTGCATTAACCGCAGCTCACGCTAGTCAATAGGCTTTTATCTCTCTCCTCATTGAGGCAGATGGTAAGAGAAAACCTCTTTGGATTTGACACGATGAAGAGAGGGACTTTTAGAGCCTGCTATTCTTTTAACACTAGTAGGCTTCAGAGGAAAGAGAAATGGGGTATTCCACACTTATTTTGGGGCCATTTACTTTCTTTGTTTCTTTCTGGGTCTCATTCTAGCAGCACATGTTCATCATATTCAAATGTGGAGGATTTTGCAAATGGTTCTTTATGTTTATGTGATCTTAAGCATTTTAAACGGATCGTTACAGATGTAGGGCTAATAAATAGAAGTAAAATAGCAAGAAATTGGAGCCAAGTTTGAAAAATATGATTTACAAAATATCATCTTGTGATTAAGGAAGGGCGATGTCAACCAATTTGGCATCGTACAGTGTCTAATGTAAAAACATTGCGATGGACGACGGCATCCTCGTCATAGGCGGAGGTGAATTAATTATTTATGAATAATTAATTAATTTATAACAAACCATTATTTGTAGCCTACCATTTCAACTACCTGACCCGCATGGTTTTTGTTTTACCCATAAACAAATAATAAATTAATAAAGTTAAACACAAATGACCACCTGTTAATCACTTTTTCCGCAGGACTCTGGCATGAATAGGCAGAGTGATCTGTGTCATTATAATGTCGTAGACAAACTTGATTGGTAAAAAAGATGCAAGACCAACAGCAACTAACCAACAGTATCTGAGGTTTTCACTAAAATTACTAAGTACAGGTGTGAAAGGGAAAGGTTGCAGCAGTGTACTGACGCTGTAAGACGTTACCTGATAGATTCAAAAGACCGAAGAGTCGTTAGATAGAGACCAAATTAATTAAATATCACTTTTAAAAACTATAGTGAAACAAGATCCAGCGGTACATCCTTGATAAACTGTCCAACATGCCCTGCTCTCTGGAGCTCAGACAAGCGCACGATAGTGTGTGTGTGTGTGGTCAGGTGATATGCGTTTACAGCGGACGGAGGGCTGTTCAGAAATGCTAGGTAAAACACGTCTATTGGCCCAACCCTACTTGTGATAGTGTTTTAGTTAGTTTTAATGTAATGTAGTGTAGCTTTTGATTTAGAATTCTCCCCTGCTGTACCAAACACATACCAGATTTTTACATACATATTTTTCTCAATTATTTTTTGCGATAAAAATGATATTTTGTGGTGGTAATTCCCAGAAATTTACGGACAATTTTGCAATAAAAATATATATTTATAAATATAAAAAATTATACACATATATAACACCTACTGATTTCTTCACAACATTCCCAACAAGCATTTTTTTTTAAAGATGTCTAACAGATGTCTAAGACAAAATAAAACAAGGATAATTTGGGCTGAATCTAATAGACGTCTAAGAACAGGTCAAAACTAGACTAGTCATCAAAATAACAGAAATGAATGACCACACTTATAAAGTCTGTTTAATCTGTTTATTTGATGACTAGTCCAGTTTTGAGTTATTCCTAGATGTCTATTCGGTTTGGTTTAGATGTCTATTAGATAAACAAAACTATTTGCTGGGTATCTCCTGTTGTGTATAACAGAAGATTATAAAACCATTTGAGAGAGCCTGAGTAATAAGCAATTTCCATCTTTTGGCTGACTATTCCTTTACGTCCCTGAAATATAATAGATACCTACTAAATTTTGGAGAAATACTGATGCGCCAAAAAAAGGATTCAGATAAAGAGCTGAAGGTTTCTTTATCATTGTCCAATCTTTCTTCACAGACACCTTTAAAAGAAATCATTTCCTTTTGGAAATACATACAAAAAGCAGCTGTCAGCCATTTCAGAAAAGGAAACGATTGTTCCAAAAAAAAAAAAAAAGACAGAGCAACGAACACACACATAAAAAATCATACAATACTACATATGAATAGAAATATGAAATGCATTATCTATCACT